AATTTTCAACCACTAATTATTAATAGGTAGGTWAATTTTAAGTTTAGTACTTTTTATCAAAATGTTAACAAAAAATACTTATAAAAAAAATGAGTCTATGAATTTTTCAACCATCTACTGTTGTTATAATATATCAGGAACCTTGTATTCATTTTCAAACTTTTTGAACCAACGAATAAAATTTTACTGACATTTACAAAAAAAATAGTATCTTTGGTATAAATTATTCAAATATCTGTACTGATATTCGTTTTTGAATAACGACAAAATAGGAAAATCGTTCCAAGTGAATATCCAATGTTGTAAAAATTTGAACTTCAAACGCTCGTAAAAATTTAATTTGACTTTCAAGTAGACATTTTTTACAGATTCAGATAAAAAAACAACTTATGATGAGGAATCTTAAATTAATTCTTCACACTTTAGACTTAAAAAGAAAAATTTTTATGAATTTTTAACTAAAAATAATTTGCAAATTTTCGTAATCTTGCGTATTTTGTCAAAAATCTAAATTTTGATGCTCATAAAATTACTGTGAATTTACACGAAACTTTTTTTCCATCAAAAACAATTTACGAGGAACCTAGTATAAATTTTCAAATTTATTGACCAAGCTATAAGTTATTATCGACATTAATTTTAAAAAAAAAACAAATAATAATCGAAGATTACATCATAACTTATAAGGAGCTTATAATAGGGGTAAAAATAACGTAGGTATGTTGTAAAGAAAATGATATTATTCCTAATAACATTCAAGTGAAATTTTTATGTATCTACGGTGATTACTGTCTTACTGATTTGTTTGAGTTCTTTATTTTCCCCGTAATTCCTTAATTTTTTCATTATTATCGGCGCTTTTGAAAACTATTGAAAATTTTAAATTTTGACCTCCTGAATACACCAATTAGATTCATTTTCATAACGGAAAAGATACTTATAAGTTAATAAATCAAAGAAATATGTCAACTACTTATTGTAACACATTACCTATTGTAAAATTATTAAAATCGTTACATTCATCGCTCCGCTTAGAATCCTAAAAATTGCAGACAGCTTGCTTGCTTGGGTGAATCAACCTGTATATAATATCATGTTATTATAAAATATCACATAGCTCATAGGACATGAACAAGCGATTTTAATTAAATTTACGTGTGCGAGAACAATGCGATTATTCGGATTATTATTGTGTAATAATATTATGATAGAACGGTAAACGCATTAAAGGGCATACACGACACAYATATAGCCATATAGGTAGATATTTACTGAACGTTATAAATACCAAAATACTAATTAATATATTAAATTAATTAAATATTATTTTGTTATCCTTATGGTCTGCAGTCTGCAGT